CTCGCTAAAATTGTTTTATATATTTGGGTCCTGTTAATGAAGTTTTAATTCTCTAAATTCCTATGCTAATAGTCGAAGGTTTTAAGTCAATCCGAGTCTTAGAGGTCCCACCTTATTCTAGTGGTTGAAAGTTCGACTGACTTCTTCCTTTGCATAGTACATTCATGTAATTTGATGTGAACCAGCTCATCTCAATCCAGTGAAACAGTATCAAACACCTTAATCTTGTCGTTAAGCATGTGCGGAGTTCATTTTCTGTCTCTACTTAAGTCTTTAGATTTTGGTGGTTCTTTCAAATTGATTTTGGTTTTGCTTACAACTGTGTAAAAAACCAGAAAGAACTGAATATACATATTATAAACATGCTTAGAATGTGGATACAGTCACATCTAGTTTCATTGAGCATTGTGTGTTTTAAATAAATAACGTGTTATCACAGGTTCTAAAAATCTCTTTTTTTGTCTTTTTAAGTTTCACTGATATATGCTGAGTGCTATCTCAGAAGATACATGCATGAGTTTGAGTAATGAAATGGGTCTATTGAGCTTCTTCAAGCTAAACCATGTGTGGAATCACATGTTCAAGTTCACGAACACCATGGAACTAAAATCTGCAATTCAGATAGGACCTAACTTTTCCAAGGTTGTTGCTTACTCTGTCTGCATCCTTCACTCTTAAGCTTTGAAAAGCGTGAAGTTCATAATGTTCACTAAGGCAAGTTGAATTGATAGAGACTCTGTGATACAATCGCATCAGAGACTAATCACATTTAATTTTCGTCGCACATCTCTGTTAACATTTTCAGAGTCCATAATTGGTGGTTAACAGAGACCATAGGGATCCTTGCGTGTACAATCAACTTTATTTTGTCTTCATTTGAAATATTGCTATCTTTCTCTTAGGAAACCCGCAGAGGGAGTTGTAAAGTCGATAACCTTATTAAAGAGACTGGGTATAGCAATATAGGTGTGTGGAAATTGTCCCGCCCTTTGTCTTGTCGTCATTCCCTTATTTGGCATTCTTTGCAGTTCAATCAAAAAGATTATTGGCTCACTGTTGTACCCTTTGCAGCTTCTTTGCTTCTCGGTATGAATGACGGTAGCAGATCTGACAGGACAAGTAGGCAAAGATCAAACAGTCCTTTCTCATTTCCTCGCCAAAAACGTTCTGTGAGACCGCGATTATATCTTTCTATTGACTCGGACTCTGAATAGAGGAACTGGAGCTTGTTTTGAGAACAAGGTTATTGGATTTTTTTTTTTTTTAATTTTAATTTTTTAATTTTAATCTCCCTGGGATTGGAAGCTGATCCTGGAGTAATCTCTTATGATTGAGCCAGAGAATCTAGTTTTGGGTTTAATTGGAAGAACGCTGACAGACATTTGGTTCCTGACGAGATGAAGCGTTAGATGTTGCACTGGGCATCCGAGGTAGAAGAAAGCGATACAAATATACAAGGCATCCAAATCGACCGCATTGTTACAAAACTTGCGATGGCACCAGGATTCTTCGTGTTCCTCCCGTTAACAATCTGCAGGTCCGATGCTGGTATTGTACAGGAGATTGTGATTTGAATCCGAAAAATTGGGACGTGTCGGAGGAAACCCTGTCAAAGAAATAAAACATGGCTGCCTCGGCTCGGTTTTATAGTGACAAGCAATAGCCTGTAAATATTCACTCCGGCTTCAGTTTTTTTAAATAGATGGTCATTTTTTCGAAAATTGATAATACTGACTTTTTATTGGTGTGTCCATTACTGTTGGGGCATGACATTTGTATTAACTTATAGAGATCCATTTAAAGTACAGGGGATCGGCACTTTGTGCGTCGCGTCGCTCCGATGGCCGACGTTTTAAAGTCATGGTTGCTGCGAGATCATAGTAGAACGCTGACTTCTGGTGAGGCAACAGAGAAATTATACCAAAAAAACTTTTATTATATGTTTTATTGTATTTGGAATGCAATTGAGTTTCATGTTCGGTTATTCCAACTTTATGCAATGTCATCGGATTTCATTTTGTTGTGTAAAAATCCGAGGGCTTTATGATATCCCCACAATTGGATGGAAATTCAAGGGTTTCAAGCTTGCGGCGCAAGTGATTCAGTCTAGCAGTATTGTTCTTCATTTGTAAGTAATAATTATAAGTTTGACAACTTAGACGGCTGGTTTGATCCCTAACTTATCTCCTTGGGATAATTTTTAGGCCCCCTAGGTCCAGCTAATTTTGACTCCAGTTTTGGACGCAATGATATTTGCGGGGTGGATGGGCCGTCAGTAATTAGATATCAAACTCGCCATTTATAGGAGTTGGACTTACAAGTGGAGAATAATACGAGTAGAGCGTTGTGCGAATTTGACTTGAGACCAAGAGAAAAATTTTCTTCTAAATAAATTTCTAGAAATTATGTGTGAGTTTTGTCAAATGTTATAAATAAAATTTTCTTCTAAATGAACTCTAATATAGCAACGAACTAATGATTCAATTATATTTCCCTTCAATTTGTAGGATGGTTCTAATTCTAAATTTGGCTTTCTCCTCTTGACTGTAATTGTTTTTAATTTATCTGCATTTTGGAGTGAGCCTGGTAATTAGAAATATTTTTTCAATGTTTCAACTTATTGTTGTTATCGTGGAACTAAAAGGATGTCGACAAAACCAAATAATGGTTTAACGATGTTCCTTTTCACTTGTTAGGTTTGATTTTCATAAAAGACGAATTTGAACTATATTATTGGTAGTTTATTTTGAAGTTTACCCTTTTTTTATGGTAGATAATAACGTTCGTTAAAAAAGATAACAAAAAATAGATGGAACTTGTAACAGAGATAAGTCGGAATTTAGGGACGAACACACAATTCTTTTGAAGGAAGCAAACTATAAGGAAAAACAAAATCTTACTCAGCACTCGCTACCTCACTGAAGATGATGATGCTGGCAACAACGGCTGCTTCTTCCTCTTCTTTGCAGGTTGGTTGTGGCAGCAGCATCAGCAGCAGACTCAGACTTAGAGGTATGCTGCCTTGTCTTGTTCAATCTTCTTCTTCTTCTGTTGTTTTCGTAAGTAATTACTTGGCTTTGTTTCACTCTCGAGCTTCTAAATCGACCGAATCTAGAAACACCCAACAACACCAGTTTGTTAAAATCACTAATCTCGAGGATGCCCTTAATGTGTTCGACGAAATGCTTCAAAGGCGTCCTCTGCCTTCCGTCGTCCCTCTCAACCAAATCTTGATTCAAGTTGCCAAGTTGAAACAGTATTCGGCAGTCATCTCCTTGAATAACCAAATGGTTGTGTCCGGAATTCGTCCTGATGTTTATACTCTAAACATTCTCATTAATTGCTTCTGCCATTTGCACCAAATCGGGTTCAGTTTATCTGTCTTCGGAAAATTCTTCAAATTGGGTTTTGCACCGGATGTCACGACCTACAGCACTCTAATCAATGGCTTTGTTTGTGAGGGTAGAGAGGCTGAGGCAGCAGCACTTTTCAACGAAATGATGGAGGGAGGTAATTGCCAGCCGAATGTGGTTACTTTCAACACACTAGTAAAGGGCCATTGCTTGAAAGGTAACAACATTGAAGCTATCCAATTTCTTAAGAAGATGGAAGAAGGAGATTGCAAGCCTGACGTAGTTGCCTATAACACGGTCATTGACAGTCTTTGCAAGGATACTCTAGTTGTTGATGCACTGAAGCTCTTCTCAGAAATGACGAGTAAGGGTATTGCCCCAAATGTCATGACCTATACCTCTTTGATTCATGGAGTTTGCAAATTAGGGAAGTGGAAAGAAGCTACGAGATTGTTGAATGAAATGGTGGAGAAACATATCTTTCCAAATGTGCGCACATTCAGTGTCTTGGTTGATACATTATGCAAAGAGGGGATGGTCCATGAAGCAAGGAGTGTGGTTGAAATGATGATCCAAAGAGATATTGAACCTAATATGGTTACTTACAACTCGCTTATGGATGGTTATTGTTTGCGAGGCGAAATGGACGAGGCGAAAAAAGTCTTTGATCTAATGCTTCACCTAGGCTGCATGGTTGATGCTCATAGTTATAGCATATTGATAAACGGCTATTGTAAGCTTAAAAGGATAGATGATGCCCAAATGCTTTTCCTGGAAATGTCTCATAAGGGCGTTGTTCAAGATACAGTTACTTATGGCACTCTTATGAATGGGTTTTGCAAGATGGGGAGAACACAAGATGCACAGAACTTGTTCTCTCAAATGCAAGCTAGTGGCCAACTTCCAAATGTTCAGATTTATAACATTTTGCTGGATGGCCTCTGTAAAAACCAACAATTTTCCAAGGCAGTTGAATTGTTGGAAGAGATGGAGGAAAAGAAGTTGGATTTTAACATTGTAACTTATAATATTCTTATTGCAGGTTTGTGTAGAGCTGAAAAAGTTGAATACGTAAGGGATCTCTTTCTTAGTTTATCATCAAAGGGAATTCAACCTAATGCCAGGACGTATAATACAATGATTAGTGGATTTTGTAGTGGGGAGCTAACAAGTGAAGCAGAAAACTTGCTTAGAGAAATGGAAGAGAAAGGCTGTTCTCCAGATGGTTGCACGTACAACACAATTATCCGAGGGTTTATCAACGACAACGAGACATCAAATGCAGTGAGGGTTATTCAAGAAATGGTGGAGAGGGGTTTTTCTGCAGATGCATCAACTACGGAGTTGATCGTTAATTCACCCGCTTTGTTGGCATTGATACAAAGATTGTGATGAAATTGATTTGCATCTTTGCAGTTTTTGACTAGTTTCGGTGCATCCTTCCCTTGAGTGCTGCATTGGAGGGAGTTGTTCCACTGGTTCCAGTTCAGGTAGCCATTCATTCATGCATTGCTTAGTGACGAATGATATGTGTTATTAATTTAATCTATTAAGTGATAGAGCAACTTTTATGTTATTCTTCAATGATGATGAAATTCGTAGACATATTTACGGCCCTGTTTAACTTAATAGGACAGGTCTATCCAATTACATGTTAGCACTAACAACTCTCCAACTCGAAACAAGGGGAATAATGAAGAAATTCCTCTGTTTCTTAAACAATCGAGATGGCAATAAATTTCGAAACTCAGATTCATGGTTGTACTGCGAACACTATTGTTTTTTTCTATTGCAACGTTTGGTGAAGGCATCCCAGACTTCCAAAAGCCCTCTGCCGCTCTTTGTGGGAACCCCATCTTTACCAAATTAGCAATTGCAAATTCTGCTCTGGCTGGAGGAGGAGGTGCATGTTCCAATATTAACTCTTTTAAGTGCGCCTACACAAAGCAGAAAACATATCAGAAACAATGTTATAAAAACGAACTTTGTAGGTTAAGACTTAATAGTAATAATAACTGTGGATGAAAATCTTAAGGGCTGGTTTGGTATTGCTGTGCTTTGAAAAAAAACTGTTTTTGCTGTGATGTGAGAATAAGCGGCTGTGAAATAAAGCTGTAGAGTGTTTGGTAAACTTTTTTGTAAAAATGCTTTTTAAAAAAAAAAACATTATTATAGTGTTTGGTAAACTTTTATGTCAAACATATGTGAAAAAAAACCGGTTTTTCAAAGTTGGGTTTTGCAGCTTCTTGTTTTTGGCTTTTTATTCAACCCAAAACTATGAAAAAAAGCTGAAGCTGAATGTTTACCAAACACAAAAAAACTCACAGCTTTTTTTGATACAGCTTTTTTCAGAATCACCTCAGTATCAAACTAGGCCTAAATCTTTTAAGTGAAAAACAAAAGACCACTTTCTGGTGCTCAAATGCATTAGAAACCCAAAATTCAGGTTTAGGGTTACCTAGATGAACTCACCTCATCCAATGCAATATAGTATAAGCCACCGGTTTCTTGGCATAGATGTTTGCTTGCATATGAAAATTTCTGCCGAGAGACCAATGACTGAGCACCTAATTTTTTATTTCTTACACTTCTGGATAGTTTCCAGCCTCTCCATAAATGGGGGTAAGGCTAGCCGACATTCACCTCTCCCAGACCCTGCTTAAAGTGGGGACCTTGTGCACTGGGTACGATCTTTTTTACTTCTGGATAGTTTCCAGTATATCTCCTGGATCACAGTTACTGAGAGCTGGATACAAGATCAACACTTCTCTATGACCATACGATGGAATCTGATTCAGATACCCATGCACAAGATCCAATGCATTCTGCAGGGAGGAGTCGCCAGAGCATTCCAGTTTACCCATCAACGCTTTAACATGAGACTCGGGACTGCCACCAAGATCCGTTAAACAATGAGCAACACCATCTTATTTGTTTTTTCGAATTATGAGGTGGTTTCCATATTGTTTCTCTTCTCTTTCAAATAATGAAGATTTAGATTTGAGAATCCATCGTCAAGGCAAAAAGAATTTGAGAGCCCATCACGTTGTAGCAAAAAGAGATCTATAAGGGTGCGTTTGGTACGCAGACGGGACGGAACGGGACAGGACGGGACGGGACGGAACGGGACGGGACGGGACGGAACGAAGGTGTAATTTTTGAAAAAGGCATGGGGTATATTTGTCTTAAAATGGTAAAACATTGTGTTCCACAGACGTGGAACAAACCCGTTCCACAGACGTGGAACAAACCCGTTCCAGGGGGTGGAGGTGGGACGCAAAAACACCCAAAATCTGTCCCGTGGAACAGCCCGTTCCACCCATTTTTGGCGCACCAAACGCGGGACGGAACGCCTCGTCCCGTTCCGTCCCGTCCCGTCCCACGTACCAAACGCACCCTAAATGCATTGCATAATTGGCTATGCATTAACTTCATAAATATAATTTTTGGGTTGCTTCATACTTTCCCAAAAGTTAGCCTACTCTTTGATATTAGTTTTATTGCTGAAAATTTAAACAAATATGATTTAATAGTATTTTTTTTCATTTGTAAGTGAGAAGCTTTAGACTCGATTATAGCTAAAGGTAAATTTGAACTATATTATTAGTAGCCCAAAATGATGTTATCTTCACTAAAGTGAGGAGGGAGTGGAGTTAGCCTTACAATGGAATAACAATAATGTAATTCAAATTCGTCTTTGTGTTAGGATGCTACATGGCATCATCTGGCATCAATTGTGATTGACAAGTGTACGGTAGATATTAGCTAGTTAGAGCTGTTAGAAGTGGGAGGTTAGTACTAATAGAAGCTTGTAAAGGAAGATAAGGAAGTTAAATGAAATGATATTGTTGTTCTGTTACTATCTCTCTGTGCAATTGTAGAAGATGTGGAGCTAGGTTCTAACATTGGTATCACAGCCAAACTCAATCCTTCGACGTTGTATGTCGCGGCAAGCTTCGCGGAAGAATATGGAGTCTCGAGTTTCGAGTCTGGAGACGAGGATTGAAGAAGTCCAGCAATCGCAAGAGAAGGTTCAGGCAAATTTAGAGCTGATTATGGGGGCAATTACAAGCTCTGATGGCAAGGGGTAATGGTGGATTTTTGGGGAATTCTGCAGCTACACCGACGCATCAGCCGTTCATCAAATCGACATCTCCTCTCTCTCGTGTGAAATCGAATGAAATTGTTCTCAAGCTTCAATTCTTCCACAAGGAAAAGGTTCAAGCCCGAGAGAAAAGAGATGAATTCTGGTCTCAATTTCGTCCAAGATACAAGCCCAAGACTCGTCCTGGTCTACGACCCATATTGAAGAAATTCAAGAAGGTGCATGACTACGACAAATACCACGAAGATGATTCTGCAAAGTTTCGTTCCAGTTCCAAATTTCAAGCAATTTTTGGGTTTTTTCGAAGTGAATTGGCTGGGAAGAATGAAAAGGTTTTCGATTTACTCAACAAGAAAGTTGAAGACACTGTGAAAAGTCCTCCATTTCTTGATTCTGATTGCATGAAATCCAAGATTCAAGCTTGCGTTCTGAGTTCTTCATCTCCTAACGAATTGGTTGCTGCGTTTAGCGATAAATTCAATCAATTCAGGACGTCGCCTTCGTCTCATCGGGAATCTAACTGCAAGAACGACTTGGCCCAAGAATTCATTTTCATAATTTCCGTATCTGATGATGGGTTCGTGAAAATTGATTCACTTGCACTCCAAGTGTTTGATGAAAGGTCACACTCAGCAGATTGTGATTTTCAGTTGGGCTATCACATGCCGATTTCTGACACCGGAGGTACACTTCGTAGGTTCTTTACTTCGAATGTTCAAATTAAAGATGCTCATAGTTCTAAATTTCTTGTTTGTAATGGTGAAGTCATGAAAAATGGTACTATTGTGCATTTGAAGCTTGGTTTCCATGAGTTAATTTGTGACAAGGGTGGGACAATTAGCCAGAGGCTCTTTAATTCAAAGTCCAAGAATACAGATTGTGCTCGAGGTTTTGATTGTTCCAAGGTGGTCAAATGTGAGGTAAGTTTTGATTATTCCATGATCATTGATGGGGAGTATGCTGGTATTTTGGGATTGCATCATTTAGTAGCTTGTATGGACAAGAATAGAAAACATGAAAGAAAGTTCACTCTCTCCAGATTTGGAAATGGTTGCTGTATTGTTTGCTGTGTTGTTTGCTATGTTATTCTCGATCATGACTACTGCAAGGGCATTCGGGATAAGGGTGGTGGCTCAAAATTCAGGTATAATGTAGCAAATGGTACTGTTTTTTGGAGAACCTATTATCTGCAGAAATGTTTTCCGTCTTGTTCCAGATTGGACAATGCCAATATGTATTGGGGAACATGTTTTTGGTGATCAGTACCGAGCAACTGATGCAATCATAGAAGGACCTGGAAAACTTAAATTGGTTTTTGTAACTGATGGGCCAACGAGATGGCAGAGTGGGAGGTTTACAAATTTATTGGTGCTGGAGGCACAGCATTGTCCATGTATAACATGGATGAGTCTATCCGTGCTTTTGCTGAGGCTTCCATGAACACTGCCTACCAGAAACGTGCTTTTGCTGAGGCTTCCATGAACACTGCCTACCAGAAACGTGCTTTTGCTGAGGCTTCCATGAACACTGCCTACCAGAAAAAGTGGCCATTTTATCTTAGCACTAAAAATACTATTTCTGAAGAAATATGATGGAAGGTTCAAGGACATCTTCCAGGAAGTTTATGAAGCTCATTGGAGATCAAGATATGAGCATCGTCTTATTGACGACATGGTTGTTTATGCTCTCAAAAGTGCAGGAGGTTATGTGGTACTCTGCTACTCTGCTACTGCTAAGCTTTGTGTGAACTTTGATGTTGCATTCATTGGTACAAAGTACATGCTAAAGCTGGAAAATGGGTGTAGTGTTTCAATGGCAAATGATTGGGTCAATACCATTACTCATCTTTTTGGGAGGGTGTAATGTGGAGTCAAATTTTAGGCAGTGAGCTACTTTGCTAATTTTAGGCAGTGAGCTATTTTGCTACTCTAGAGAAGCAATGCTGTTGCGACTGAAGTGAGTTCAATGACAGAACAGTTCAGGGGTGATGTTACTGAGGAGTGGTATCATGATTTGAAGCTCCAGTTTTCATAACTTGTTGATCTTTGAGTTGTTTTGTTTAATTGTAGTTCTGCACTTTGTTTCCGTAAGTTTTGTTTTAAGGGGGAGGTATTGTTAGGATGCTACATGGCATCATCTGGCATCATCTGTGATTGACAAGTGTACGGTAGATATTAGCTAGTTAGAGCTGTTAGAAGTGGGAGGTTAGTACTAATAGAAGCTTGTAAAGGAAGATAAGGAAGTTAATGAAATGATGTTGTTGTTCTGTTACTATCTCTCTGTGCAATTGTAGAAGATGTGGAGCTAGGTTCTAACACTTTGACAAAGATCGAACTTAAAATCTCTCATTTACAAGGAGAGATGAATATTATTAAGTGATAAGAGATTTCCACTGTACTAAGTCCCAATTTCGTGAGATTAACAATAGGTAATTAGTTACCAAACAAAATTTCAAGAAAAACGTTCAGATTTTGAAAAAGTCAAAAAAAAAAAAAAAAAAAAATCTCTATGTTCCTTGAAAAAATTCAAAAAAAAACATTTCAAGAAAAACATTCAGATTTAGAAAAAATTCAATTTAGAATATCAATTTTATACAAAAAAAATAAAAGGGGATGATAAATGATAATATTTGAAAGAGTAAACTATCGATTTGCCCCCTGAACTATCACCCAACTTTCGATTTGCCCCCTGAACTTTTTAATTGGAAAATTAAGGACTTAAACTAATTTTTTTGGCCGATTTGCCCCATGCTGTTAATTTTTCATTCATTCCATCCAAATTTCTGTTAAATGGAAGCATATGCACAACATGTGTGGGTAGTTCGGTCACTTC